TGTTTGGTAAGTATTGTACTTAGTTTGAAAGAAGAAGGAAATGGAGCGACTAGAAGTGTCATCATGGCAAAAGTTTGTGATGGACGGGAGTATATATGGCATCAACCGTTTAACCCTAAACCCTAGCCCAATATTTGCAGCCGCCATCGTCGGAGGGTCCTCCAGCACCGCCACCCTTGTTCCTCCCATCCCAGCCACCGCCTCCCTATTTGCTGAAGTCGTCGTACACGTCTCACTACCGACGAAGACGTGGAATGTGAAGCTCGAGCCATCGCTGTGAATGAGATAGACCGGTCGGACCGCAACTATCCTTCGACCGACGATGATTAGCGCTGCAGAGGAAGTTTTCGAGGCGCGGAGCGACGGCGATCGGTCGCTGCTTTCATTTCTTCGCCTCCCTTTCTTCTTTTACTCCCAGCTCTTGCTGCCGGCGTCGTGTAGAGTCGGAAAACCACCGCGAGCCTCCGCTGCCAAGCGTGGATGAAGCACCTTGCTCCAGACGACATGTTAAGCGAGGTTGAAGTGTTGCTGGGCAGTGGATCGAGAGGAAACGCGACCACCACCGTGAGGTGGTGGCTGTCAAAGCAAAGCTGCTGCCGCTGCCGCCATCTCGCTCCATCGCCGCCATGTACGCCACCAGGTGGGTGGCTGTGTTACTGTTCTAGGCAAAGAGTGCTTGTGTGTGTTCATTTAAGTGTAGTGGGGGTTTTGTTTAGCCGAATTTCTGGGGAAAAGCCACCACCACCGCCGGCCACCATGGTGTGGCTGTGTGTGTATGTGTGTGTGTTAGTTAGTGTGTGTATTAGTTAGTGTGTGTTAGTGAGTGTGTGTGTTATTTTGGATAAAAGCCTTGTAACTGTAATTAGCATTGGATAATAAATAATAATAACCACCACCGTAAGGTGGTGGCCGCCGCCGTGAGTCGCCATTGACCACCACTATCCGAGGTGGTAGTGGGTGGTGCCCCACACGCAAAACCCTAATTGACCTAGCCAAAACCCTAATGGGCTTAAAGATTAATTTTGGGCCTATTGGGCCATGTTTGAGTGGAAACCCTAATTAGGGTTTAGAAAACCCTAATTGTGAGTAATTGGGCCTTAGACTTATTGGACCCACTCTTGGGCCATTGAGATTGGATTGTGTATTAAGCCCAATCACTTCATAGCACTTATCTAGTAGAGTAAAGGACTTAATGGATTAAGTCCTTAATGGGTTAAGTAAGAAACATTTAACCCTAATCGTCATTTTATGTGAAACCCTAATTTTACTTGGGCCTTGAGTTGGGCCTTTCCATTGGGCTTTGGTAATTGGTTGATTAATGGGTCATCCAAGAATAATCAAATGGACTAGAGTAATTAGTTGGGCTTTAGGGTAAGGCCCATATGATGGATTGGGCCCAATTTGGAAAATTGGGCCATAGTGTGGGCCTTAATGATTATATGATATTGGGCCTTAGAATAAGACCATGTATAGGCCTGGGCCTAATTTGGAAAATTGGGCCATAGCTGGGCCTTGGTCCATTATTAGACTTTTGGGCCTTTGGATTGGGCCTTGAGCTTGAGTCAAGCTAAGTTACGGGGTAAAGTAGTCTTTTACCCCAAGCATGGATTTATGAATATGTGTTAAAACCCAATTATTAATTGGGTGTTATTTTGATATTGACAGATCGGGAATCTGTCATCGAGCAGCTATGGTTCTGTCAGCGGGACTTCAGCAGGGTGAGGTGGGTTTCCTTCCAATAGGAACAGGTCTACGACCACAATGTCGACCCGTTTAGATGATAGTAGTTCCGGACTTCGGTCCAATGCCGGGCGGGGCCCGACGTAGTAGTATGTATGCTTGATGTCTTTGTGATTCATGCATGTTTGTGATATGTGTTATATGATCCGGACTTCGGTCCGATGCAGTATGTGATTATGCTATATGTCCTTGTTATGTTATGTTCAGCTTATTTCGGACTTCGGTCTGATGCTGGGCGGGGCCGGATGCAGTGGGCGGGGCCCAAGTTATTCCGGACTTCGGTCCGATGCCGGGCGGGGCCCGATGCAGTGGGCGGGGCCCAAGTTAATCCGGACTTTGGTCCGATGCCGGGCAGGGCCCGATGCAGTGGGCGGGGCCCAGATTATGCCGGACTTCGGTCCGATGCCGGGCGGGGCCGGATGCAGTGGGCAAGGCCCATTATGTGTTATCTGTGTTATTGTATGGTATGTGGTAGTTTGGGGGAGCTCACTAAGCTTTGTGCTTACAGTTTTCAGTTTTGGTTTCAGGTGCTCAGTTTTCAAAAGAGGAGCTCGGGAAGATTGCAGTGCACACACCATTTGTTCAGCCTGGGTGTTTATACTCTGATATACTTGACAGTTGTTATAATATTTGAGATACATTGCTTATGATTTTTATATGATGTTTATCGACTATGGTTTTATTATTAAATTAAACGAAATTTTCAGACCGTGTTTTTGGGATGTTTCATGAAAAGCCATGGGCTCCCCCACATGGTCTTACATCCAAGTGCCATAGGCTCCCCCATGGTCTTTAATAGGAAAGCCATGGGCTCTCCACATGGTCTTACATCTAAGTGCCATGGGCTCCCCCCATGGTCTTCCATGCAAGTATCACAAAGACAACTAGCATACCACATACCACATAGTCAAATAGCATACCACATAATCACTAGCATACAACATATACATGCATACAGACATATCAGTAGTGAATCTACAATAAACACTACAACTAAATGAATGGGCCGACCTTGGTGCCTTAGACCCATTGTTCAATTAATTTATTCTTGTGTTTCACCTTGCATGGTTTACTTCCCGAATATTAATTTATTCAAAATGCCATAGTCGGTCATACTTTGGGAGAATGTATTGATTTAAGATTGTCATGAATTGTTTGTAGATTGTCTATATGGATTGGACATTGCATATGAATTGATGTAGTATTCATAAGTACTTAGAAAATGTGGATTTGAGTATTGGTTAAACCCACTCCTAGAGATTATTTCATGGATTTAATCACGAGTAATTCTAAAACGATAATATGTTCTATTCTTAAAACATAGATATATAAGTCATAGTTTGTGAATCTGTTGTGCATTGGTTTGCACCAACGCATTCATAACTAGATGTTATAAAGTGTAATTTCATGTGTGACTTGATAAGTAAAAGGTATGATTATATAGTCAAAGTTTATTCGTTCATTTTGCCTATTAAGGAAAAGTGATATCATTGGTCTCCTCGATGATTTGATGTTGACATTATAGTGTTGGACCCAACCGAGACTAAACTGATGTGCTTAATTCGTATTCTAATGACGTTATCACAAATCGAGAAATCGTGAAACAAAATCTTAGACCATGGTATTGATTTTAATACATGTCTCGTGTCCATACGATATCAGGAAGAACAAAGGGATAGTTGATCACTTATCTTAGGGCCGACGTCTGATCTGATCAGAGTTTGGCAGTGTCTTTGGAAAACACACCGTACTTGTTATTCTAGATTATACAAACAATCGTAGTTAGCAACTTATCAAAGTGAAAGATTGTTGGATTAAGTGTCTGAGGTTTTAACTAAATTGGTATAATATTGAAGAATAAAAGTAAAGTCATTGTGGGGTTGCCCTTACAACCATGGAATAGCTTGGATTGATTATAAGAGAGCGATAAATGATTTATTGATGTATTATATGATCAATATATTAATTAGAAATAATAATAGTTAATTAAGAATTAATCAAGATTAATTTGGAATTAATTCTGGGTTAAATAGAATTAATTAGAGGTACAAGGATTGAACTACAATTATTTAATAGTTGAATAAAGGAGGAATTCCATAACCTTCTATAGGTGGCCGGTGTCGAGGCTCTTCTATTAGGGTTCTGGAAGCCTCCAAATCAGATAAGGAAACTAGATATACATCGGTGTCGAGGCTCTTCTATTAGGGTTCTGGAAGCCTCCAAATCAGATAAGGAAACTAGATATACATCGGATTAAAATATTATTATTTTAAATTCAAATATAGGGTTTCTAAGATTATTTGACAGCTATATAAAGGACCCTAAGTCCTTGGGAAATATGACCCTACCTCCTCCCATATAGAAATCAAAATTTCTCTTCCCGTCTCTCCTATATTCAATCCTAGTGTTTCTTAGGTTTTTAGGTGTGACATATTAGAGCCTACCATACAATTGGAGCTAGTTTTCCAATGAGACTTCAAAGAGATTGATTAGCTTAATTCGATTTAAGCGAGAATAATAATTTCAATTGACCTTTAAAACCAAAAAAATGGAGACGGTGATGAGGGAGTAGATGCAGTGCACCGAGATGAAACCAAATTGCATATCGGTTAGGGGCGAAGAGGTGGAACAACTTCGGAGCATCTGGAGGCCAGATTTTAGGGTTTTACCAAGATTATGGGTTTTCTAAAGAAGGTAGCGGTGACTGGTGGTTCTGATGAAGGGTTTTTCACCGACGAGGAAGGACTGAGAGAGGTAGATTCTAACAGTAGGAAGAGTAGAGGAGGTGGGAGGTGGTGGCTTTAAAGACAAGATGAAAGGGATGTAGAACTCAAGGATTAGAAGATAAAGGGTAAGGGTGGATTTCGACAGAAGAGGCACTTGGTTGCATGTAATGGTGAGCGGCTCTGGTGTTAAAGCAGTAGTAGTAGAGGTTGGGTGTTCATTTCTCTAAAACCGACAGAGGGATATAGAGGTGAAGAGGTTGGGGATATACATATTATCATTTTTTTATTTTATAAATAATTTTATTTAAAAATAAATAAATAAACCATAAATAAAAATAATTAATAAGGACAATTTAGTCTTTTTAGACATAGTAGGGACCGACACCGCAATAAAAACATAATATAGAGACTATCCAAATACAAAATAAAAGTTAAGAACCAAAGGAGTATTATTATTATTAAAAGTCAAGAACCAAACGACTATTATTATTATTATTATTAAAAATAATATTTTCTTTTCTAACCTCCAAAACAGTGTTGGGGTGAAGCTGGAAATGCATCTCAATCTCCGTGCTACGCAAAAAGCGAACAGTTGTTTGAGAGCTTGTTCTCTGTTCGATTATGCCATCCATGGCTGCTGAAAATTCAGACGTCTCGAAGGCAGAACAAATTAAACTCCAAGCGAATGAAGCTTTCAAAGGTATTCTTTACGTTCTTACACCTTTGTTCCTTCAAATAACCCACTCTCTATTGTACTAAACGCCAGTAATATGCTTATTCAAATATGTGTAATCGTAGTTATCTATCCCTTCGTCCCAAAAAGATCCCTATTATGGTTCAGCGAAACTTTTAAAGACTGTTTGCACATATTGACCATTAGGAACGTCAAATTGGTAAATTCTGAAGTCTGTTTCGTTACCAATGGTTACTTCGATTAGTATCAGTCCGTTTCTTAGATTGTAATACCTTGATGGTTTTGGTTTCCCCTGTACGTTTTCTGATTCATGAAAGATTGGTTTGTCAGCTCATAAATATTCTCAGGCAATTGATTTATATACACAAGCAATCGAACTAAATAGTGAAAATGCTGTGTATCTGGCGAATCGAGCCCTAGCTCATACCAAGTTGGAGGAATATGGTAGTGCAATACACGATGCATCTAAGGCTGTTGAGATTGATCCCAAGTACTCAAAGGCATGTTCTTCAACTTATTTATCTTGATTCTTCCTTTCTTAGAATTCTACGTTATGAATATATTGCTTTTTCTTGATGAAATGTGCATTAATTTAGGGTTATTATCGTCGTGGTGCTGCATATCTTGCAATGGGAAAGTTTAAAGAAGCACTCAAGGATTTTCAACAGGTTTGTATTGATTTCCATGATTTCATCATCTCATTAAGACTGTTAATCGTTAAATTATTCTCACTTGATCATCGACACTGATGGTTTGCTTTACATTTATATGGAATTAGGTGAAAAGAATATGTCCGAATGATCCTGACGCTTCTAAGAAACTGAAGGAATGTGAAAAAGCTGTTATGAAGCTCAAGTTTGAAGAAGCAATTGCTACACCTAGTTCTGAACAACATTCAGTAGCTGAATCTATCGATTTTCGTACTATAGGTATCATTATTTCAATGATATTTTATTCTGTTTGTGACTCAGTTAGTTGTTTTAAGTTCCCTCTGTTTTTGTCAGCAGCATTAAAATCATTGTATTTTTTCCCAAATTCAAATAAAAGTCTTACAATCAACTTTACATGAAGACTTTCTCTTTATGATTTTGTTGTTTAAATACATTGAATGATTTTGCTTCAAGAAGTTAGAGCTAAACAATAAAATTTTGAATTTTGTTTAAACAACCCTTTCTAAAATCTAAACCTTCTTTATCTGTAAACTCAAGATGTGGAGCCACAATATGGTGGTGCAAGAATAGAGGGAGATGTAGTAACTCTAGAATTCATCAAGAAAATGATGCATGAATTCAAGAATCAGAAATCCTTACATCAACGGTATATACTTCTTATCAAAATATTTAATTTTTTATTACTATCAATTCAATATCATACTCTATCTTCTCTTAGTTTTAATGTTATTGTTTTAGGTGTGCTTTTCAAATTGTCATGCAAACAAGGGACATTCTAATGGCTTTGCCTTCTCTTGTTGATGTAAAAGTTCCAGATGGAAAGCACTTCACAGTTTGTGGTGATATACATGGTCAGGTAAATATAAACAAGGGCAAATTTGTAAAATGAGAGGACTTACATGCCTGGCTTTCCCTATTAAGTTGTTCTTTATGTATCAAGTCAGAAAGAAACACTCCATTTTCTTTAATAGTTTGATTTTTCTTTTTCTTTTCTGATGGGGATGGGGCCCACCTTCATTAAATGCAGTTTTTTGATCTGTTAAACATCTTTGAGCTCAATGGTCTTCCCTCTGATGAAAATCCATATTTGTTTAATGGTGATTTTGTTGATCGAGGGTCTTTCTCTGTTGAGGTTATTCTTACACTTTTTGCATTCAAGTGTATGTCTCAATCAGGTAATTGATTTTGATCATGTATCTTTATTGCTATTAAACACTATAATCATTTATTTTTTTTTAATGTTTTCAGCCATATATCTTTCTCGTGGAAATCACGAAAGCAAGAGCATGAACAAGATTTATGGGTTTGAGGGGGAGGTCAAATCAAAGTTGACTGATAAATTTGTGGAACTTTTTGCTCAAGTTTTTTGCTATTTACCATTAGCTCATGTTATAAATCAGAAAATATTTGTTGTTCATGGAGGACTTTTTAGCACTGATGGGGTCAAACTCTCTCAAATTAAAGCAATCAATCGGTTTTGTGAGCCTCCAGAAGAAGGTAAATGCAAGAAATAATTTATGCATTGTACTTTGAGTAATATAGCATTGTATATATTTTTTAAAAAATTATTTTATAATAAGAAGAAATGAAAGTAGATTGCTAATATAAATCTGGTGTTTATTATTAGGGTTAATGTGTGAACTACTATGGAGTGATCCACAATCTGATCCTGGAAGAGGACCTAGCAAACGTGGTGTAGGTCTTTCTTTTGGTGGAGATGTGACAAAAAGATTCTTGAAGGATAATAATCTTGGTAATTAATTAATCATAAATGGATATATTTTTTTTAATTATTAAAGTTTCAATTTTTAACCATTGAGTTTTTGTTTATTTGATAGATTTAATTGTGAGGTCTCACGAGGTGAAAGATGATGGTTATGAAATCGAACATGATGGGAAACTCATCACTGTTTTTTCTGCTCCAAATTACTGTGACCAGGTAATTTAATGGTAATTAGTTAATTAATTAATTATATAACCCAAAATAAATTGACAGTTGTTTATGATTTTGTATTTTTATTTTTAACATTTGTGTAGATGGGCAACAAAGGTGCTTTCATTCGTTTTGAAGCTCCCGTTATGGAGCCAAAGATTGTAACGTTTTCAGCTGTGGTTAGTATCTCTTACCGTTTTTATATGCTTTTCTTTTTGTCTGTGTCTGTGTCTGTGATTTATACTGTAAATTTATGAAAATTGCAGCCACATCCGGATGTGAAGCCGATGGCCTACGCAAGCAACTTTCTACGCATGTTCTCTTAGTGTTATCTTTTTGACACATAGAATAGGTGGTTTCTCACATCTATAAATGCACATAAATATGTGGAACCTCATAGTTTTTTTATCTTGATAAGTTTATATCAAATTTTGATGTAGCTTTATTTATTTATTTATTTTTTCATGCAAAGTCGATTTGCAATAGAAAAAAGAATTAATACATTAAGAGCTGAGTAATATAAGTAGATTTTCTGCGGCCGATAAGGGAAATCCAAAGTACATGTCTGAATAGAGAAAAGTGGGATGTAGCGTGTAGATTCCATTTGAACAAGAAGATTATCCAAATTAGAATATTGTAAGATGACATATGTAGTAAGGAAATGAAAAGTCAACATATTGGAAGATTTAGATTTCTTATAAAGCGAATATTTTTTTAAAAATTAGCTTTTCTATAGAATATCAACAAAAGTTGAAACTTGTCATGGCGTAATTGCAACCAATTTTTTTCTTTTCAAAAACAAAGAAGTATGTTCACACAAGAATAATTATGAAATCGAGAATGCCAGAATGAATGTTGACCATCCATTTTGGAATGCTATTTTTATCGAATATATTAAAAATTTTATTTTTTAGTTCTCTATAAGTTAATGTTAATATCAACATAATATTTTTGTATAAAAATGCGAATTATTATTATTTTTTTTATATATATATTTTTATTATATGCACTTGCATGTGATTAAACTCTATTATTCACACCTTGTGCTTAAGCTATTCACATGTGATTAAACCTTGTGCTTGTGTTGTCGATTCCATAATTTGTTTTGTTTATACTTGTTGAATGGTTTTACTATAGTAATTTTATAATGTAACTAAAAATTTCATTATTTTTTTTTACAAAAAGGAAATAAAAGGAATGAAAAATCTGAAATAGAGTTATATAAATATGTAATATTTTTCTTCTTAAATAAAAATGAAAATTTATTAGAGTTGGATTTTTTAGAAGAATACTGTATTTTTTTTAAAAGTATATATAAAAGTAAAACAGGTTATGATTCTAATTTGTTGTTTCATAATTTCAACGCAGTGCTACAAAACACATATTAGAACGTTTTAGTTTTTTTTTTACACAATATAATAATTAATTTACATAATAAAATAAGTTATTTACTCGTTTGAAACTACACGTTTATTATAATTTTTATAAAAATACTCGTAAAATAAAATTAATATTAATTTCCATAATAAAATAAGTAATTTACTCGTTTGAAACTACACATTTATTATAATTTATATGAAATAAAACGGATCATGCATATCAATGTTATATCCCCTAGATCTATGGATGTACTTTTTAAAATAATTAGTTTTACCATACAAAAAGGCTTAGCGGCGCAACTTGTTGCCAGTTTGTCATCTCACTCGTTGTATGGTGATAATTAAATTAATGAATTAGTATATTAAATTGTAAAAAATATATATATTAGAAGCATATGCTAACAGTGTTAGAAATTATGGATTTGGTCCAGATGTTTCATTTGTTGCACTGATGGTCCTTAAAACTTAGCTTTGTGACAATACTCAGTCCCTATCTCTAACCGAGTCAAAACTTAAAAGTTCTCTATTAAGATCAAGGTAAAATACTATTCTACCCTCATCTTCATCTTCTTAGTCCTTTCAATTCAAAGCAAACCCACAAAAAGGATTCTCGACTCCTTCAAATTGATTCATCAATCTATACATCGACAATGTTAGAAATATATTGACCCTTTTATAGACTTGATAATATTATTATTTTGCCCTAAAACATTGTAAGAAAGGAAATAAACTAATGAAGGGTGGTTAATTAAAGTAAATAAATCCTTTTCCATAATAGATATCAGTTCTCACAATACATTCTCTATAAAATTCTATCTTTTATTAAGCTTGCGAAAGATTTACAAGATCAAAACTAGGGAAAATGACTCTGGAGGGTAACTAACTATTGAGTTTGTTCTCATTTGGTCCCTTTCCTTTTTTTTTTGTATCCAATATACCATCGAACTTGTTGTTCGTGTTCACCATAACCCTTTTGACCAGCTATCACCTGTGATAGTCGGTCAAAGAGTTATGGTGAACACAAACAACAAGTTCTATGGTATATTGGGTACAAAAAAAGGGAAGAGACCAAATGAGAACAAACTCATCAGTTAGTTACCCTACCCTCCTAAGTCATTTTCCCTCTACTCATTTACAGAAAATCCTACGTCATCTTTTGCTCATATTAATGACTTTATGAGATTCATTCTTGTTTCTCTTCAAAACATAACCCGCGAAAGAACATTATTCATACATGTACAACTTTGTAATGCACTTGAATATTTATTAGGGGAATCTTGATTGAGCAGCTGCATTTCATGACTACATTTACATTTCCAATCAAATGATTTATCGTATCATGGATTCTGGACAAGTCTACAAACGAGTAGAATCATAAGTGCTGTGATTTTTGAGTTTACTTGGCTTTAAGATCGAATTCATGGGATAAGATACAACATCAATATGTACAAGATCATGCAGTTTTTGCAAACACATCACCAAAATATACCTTGAGGTAAACGTTTATGTTGAAACTTTAATTTCATTTAACTTTTTGGGGAAAATGACTCTGGAGGGTAACCAACTGTTGAGTTTGTTCTCATTTGGTCACTTTTTTTTGTACCCAATATACCATCGAACTTGTTGTTTGTGTTCACCACAACCCTTTGACCGACTATCACAGGTGATAGCATGTTAAAATCCGGTCAAAAGGGTTGTGGTGAACACAAACAACAAGTTCGATTGTATATTGGGTACCAAAAAGATGAAAGGGACCAAATGAGAACAAACTCAACAGTTAGTTACCCTCCAAAGTCATTTTCCCTCAAAACTAAGATGGAAGCAAAAAAACACTAAAAATACATGCTTTGGGTGTTTGAAGATCCAATGTCGCCGCCCTCTGCCAATCTACAGCCTCCACCTATCTCCCCCTCTCCACTGTCCTTTGCAGTTCTGCCCCTGTTCGCGTCTCTTTTTTCTGGTTACATAAGTCTTTTAAGTCTACAACTATAAAACCAGAAAAAACTATAAATACAACACATTGATGATTTGTTTCAAGTAGGATACTTATTTTACAAATTATACCTTATTATTTTGTTAGCTACTTGTTACTTCTTATATTTATTTATTTATTTTTTTATCATATATTGTCTTATATGATTTGTATTAAGGATTTTAGAATAACTTAAATTTGATTCAAAAGGTCCCTGTATAATTCAGACTTTATAAAAAGTTTTAAATACATTATGCCTTTTTCTCATATTTACTAAATAGTAGGTATCAAATTGGGCAATCGTGTCGATTTGCATGACACGATACGACACAATAAAACTTTATTTAACACGAACACGATACGACACGATGGCGTGTTCATTTTCATTAACATATTTTCATTAATACACACATGGTTTAGATTTAGGTTAAAAGAATATGTCCAAATGATCCAGATGTTTCTAAGAAATTGAAGAAATGGGAAAAAGCTCTTATGAAGCTCAAGTTTCAAGAAGCAATTGCTATACCTAGTTCTATCAATTTTCATACTATAGGTACCATTCTTTCGGTCATATTTGTTCATATTTATAATCGCAATCAAATAAACAATCATTTTTTGTATTTATTCCAAATAAAAGGGTAAAATGGTCAATTATGTCATTCAAACGATCCGTTTAGTCCAAAAAGAAGCAACATTTGTTGACACATTACTTTCTTTATACACACATCCTTTATTTAGAGAACAATTAATGAATATATTTAATTAATCCCTGAGAAAAACATGTGTTTAACACCTTTATAATTTTCCTTGTTCTGTATAGCTTTAAAATGGTCGAATGCTAATTTATGCGATCATGTATTACCTTTTCCCAAATTTATGCAACAAAGTAGTTTTTTAGAAGAAGTACACAACCACCTTTTGTTTTAGGACTAAAATATGCAACATTGTAACTTTGTAACTTGAAACCGGTTACCTCATTACATGGCATCTGTTAAATGCTTATTCATGCAAGAATGTTTCACTTTTTATTTTGTTTACCAATTTATGCAAGAATATTTCACATTTTTACCAATTTAGGCAACAATGTTTCATTTCTTTACCAATCTATGCAACCATGTTTCAACCAGTCAAAAAATATATTTTATCTTTTGATGTTTAATTGAAACATCGTTGCATATATCTTATAAAAAACCATTTTGTTGCATAAACATGGAAAAAACAAAACTTTGCTGAATAAATATACATTTAACCCATTTAAATACATTAATTATATCGATTTTTGTCACACAAAATATTGAATTACACTTCATATAGTTGCATACCCTTCAAGAATTTCAAGAAGTTACAATTAAACGAAACTTTGAAAATTTTGGTTAACTACTCTTTCTGAACCTTCTTTCTCTGTAAACTAGAGATATGGCGCCACAATATGATGGTGCAAGAATAGAAGGACTTGTAATGACTCTAGAATTCATCAAGAAAATGATGCATGAATTCAAGCATCAAAAAGGCCTACATAGAGGGTATTTTTCATTTTTGGAACTTCTTATTAAAATATTTAGGGATAATGACTTGAAAGGGTAACGAACTTTCGACTTTGTTCACATTTAGTCACTAAACTTTTTTTCGTTATCTATTTGCCACTGAACTATTGAAATTGTTCACATTTTACCCTTATGACCGGTAACAACCGATCATAAGGGTTTTTTTTTGTTTAACTGTAGCAACATTTGTTGATGAAGAAATCTATGAAATAAAAAAACAAAACCCCGAAAAATATATTAAAAAAGAAAAAGAAAAACCGAAACCGAAATAAAAAACCAATGGTTTGGTATTTTTCCAAAATAAAAAATCACAAATTTCCAATCTGATTTTGGTTTTACAAAAATTCAACTTTCGGATTTCCATATCTAAATCTCTCCCCTTTTTTATAATCGAAAAATGATTATAAAACCAAAAAGGGAATGAGAGAGCGCTCAATTCGGATTTTTTCTATCCAAAACTCCCCCTTGTGACATGAGAGATAGAGAGAGAGACATGTAAACACCTCTATATAAGGTGAGTTCATACCACATTTAGAGGTGTGCTTGAGAGATGTAACATTGGGAGTATTAATGTGTGTTAATTATGTAGATTTAGATCTAGATCATTTTTTGTAAACACTTTTCATAATCGAATGTATCTCTTAAACACTCAAATCACTGTGTTATTTGTGTGTTCTTTAATTCTGCATGCCAAACCAATGGTCATAATTCACATTAGTGAGAATGGTTCATTTTTTTGTAAAACCAAAATCAGATTGAAAATTTTGATTTTTTATTTTGGAAAATGCCAAACCATTGGTTTTTTATTTCGGTTTCGGTTTTTCGTTTTTTTTAATATATTTTCAGAGTTTTTTTTTTTTTTTTTTTTTTTTTTTTTTATTTCATAGATTTCTTCATCAACAAATGTTGCTAGAATTTAACAAAAATAAATAATTTGCTAAAACATAATACAATAGGAAGTTTGTTCACATTTAGTCATTGAACTTTTTTAAAGGGAAACGAACTTTCGATTTTGTTCACATTTAGTCACTAAACTTTTTTTCATTATCTATTTGCCACTGAACTAATGAAACTGTTCACATTTTACCCTTATGACCGGTAACAACCGGTCATAAGGGTAAAATGTGAACAGTTTCAATAGTTTAGTGGCAAATAGATAATGAAAAAAAGTTTAGTGACCAAATGTGAACAAAATCGAAAGTTTGTTACCCTTTCAAGTTATTATCCCAAATATCTAATTTTGTGTTACTAAAACCTCTTAATCTTGATGTTTGTGTTGTAGGTAGGGGTGCAAACGAGCCGAGCCGAGCCCGAGCCTGAGCCTAGTTAGGCTCAGCTCGGGCTCGTTTAAGTTATACGAGACTCGAGCTCGAGCTCGGCTCGATTCGAGCTTTCTTGTATTGAGCCCGGCTCGAGCTCGTAAAGAATTATACAAGCTCGGTTCGGGTTCTGGCTCGGGCTCGACTCGTTTTTCATTTTACGTGCCTAAATAAGCTTAAGCTCGGCTCGAGCTCGTTAAGAAGCTCGTTTACTAATACCCTAAATCCCTAATTTCCCAAATATGTTTTTATTTTAATATATGAAAATAATAATAAATTATATTATATAAAGGCTTGTTTAGGCTCACGAGCCTAATCGAGCTTAGTGACATAGGCTCGAGCTCGAGCTCGTTTAATAAATGAGCTTAATATTAAGCTCGAGCTCGGCTCGGGCTCGTTTAAAATCGGTTTCGAGTCGAGCTTTTAACGAGCCGATCCCGAGTAGCTCGCGAGTAGCTTGGCTCGTTTGCACCCCTAGTTGTAGGTATGCTTTTCACATTGTCACAAAAACTCGGAAAACTCTAATGGCATTGCCCTCTCTTGATGCAAAAGTTCCACATGGAAAGCAATTCACAATTTGTGGTGATATACATGGTCAGGTAAATATAAACAAGGGCAAATTTGTAAAATGTTCGGACTTACATCCCTGACTTTCCCTATTAAGTTGTTCTTTATGTATCAAGTCAAAAAGAAACACTAATATATAGTTTACGAGATTAAGTCATATAAATTGTCTCTATTTAGTTTATTAACAACTTTTTGTTATTAACTTGTACCATATTCTTTAATAATTTGATTTTTTTCTTTTTCTTTTCTGATGGGGCCCACCTTCATTAAATGCAATTTTTTGATCTGTTAAACATGTAAGATCACATGTAAGATTGTAAGATCGTAAGATCGTAGGATCGGGATCCGATCCGATCCTACCTTACCTTGTTTTCTTCTTTTTTCTTTTCTTTTTTTTTTTTTGAAAATGGAAAAATGAATTTACCATTTTATGTATTTTTCTGTTTACCACTTTACTATTTATCATTTGTGTTGTGAGTTGCAAATAATGTTTTGAATTTTTTATAGCTTTTAAACGGAAAATTGAATGTTTGAGATATTTTTCATGTTTTAAAACTATAAATTAAAATTATGTTTTATTCTGTGGGATCTTAGGATCCTGATCTTACGACTATGATCTTGCAAACCCCAAAACGATCCTACATAGGATACCGATCTTGATAACCTTGGTTAAAATCATCTCTTCCATTTTATATTGATTGTTTGTAAATCTCGTTGAACTCGTTAATTTTAGCTTTTTTGTCCTGTCATTTGGATTTGGAAGAAAGACCGTCATTATTCCGATAAACACCCATTCCCATTTCCGTGTAGAAATGTTGTAACATTCATAATTTGGTATGTTTCCCTTTTAGCCCTTAATGCAAAATCTATGTCTTTTTGGTCCCTAGCTAGTACGCGGGGCGTACTCCATGAGTACGTTTAGCGTACTAGCTCTTTTCTGGATGCGGAATTCATCCGCGTACGCATGGCATATGTAGAGTACGCATGACGTACGTGGTGCAAGGGCAAACCCTAATTTTTAGGGTTTGCATCCTATTTAAACAACTTATAACACCTTTTGGACATTTTATTGATCAACCTCCATCACCCTATGCCCTCATATCGAAACCCTAAGTGTACTTGGTGAGATTTGAGCTTGAAAGTGAGTTTGTTGGTGTTTTGTGGTAAAGAAGAAGAAGATGAACATTTGGAGGTTGCTTGGGAGTAGCTTGAGCTTGTAGATCCAGAGTTATCTTCACCTTAGCAAGCCTTTTGAGGTAAAAAGCTCTCATCTTGATGGTCCTTTATGCTAGATCCATTTTATGGTGTTATTTATGCATTTTTGGGTCTTTTAAGTCATATATGAAGTTATGGTCTACTCCAGAAACTATGGATGTTAGATCTTTGCTCATTTGAGGTCCCTTGTCCATAAAAATGCAAACTTTATGTCAGATATTGGTCCATGCAAGTGTTAAGACTCTTATTAAGCTTCTTTTTGAGTGTTGGGACCCATTAAGTCATGCATGGGTGTAAAGTTGTCAACTTTACGTATCAAGTCACCATTTAGAATCAGATCTGAGAGTTTAGCATGTTGGCTTAACCAATTAAGTGCTTAATGGGTTGGGTTGGTAATCTGGGGAGTACGTTGGGCGTACCCAGCTGTTACGTTGCGCGTACTGGCCCCGGAAGGAGTACATTAAGCGTACGAGCCGAGTACGCTCCATGTACTCAGCAGATGGACCTTCGGTTTGACTTCTTCGGTTTGGGCCATATTTTGGGCTTTTAGGATTTGGGCCTTTGGACTTCTGACTTTGGACCATGGATACACTATGGGCTTTCTTGGTATTGGGTTCATGATTATTTTGGGACCAATTTTGAAGTTGGGCCTTATTGGGCCTTTGGATACCATTTAGGAATTTGGGCCTTTTGAGCAATGGGTTGGGCCAAGTAAGAAAAATGGTAAAATGGTATTTTACCCTGGATATTGGGCAAGTGACTTAGATTCTTGATTATGGGTCGAGATCTAATTATTAATTGGATATTATTTGATGTTGTTAGCGTATGGATTTTCCGGACCAGCAGACTGAGATTTCATCGGAGTGATTCTACAACTTGAGGTGAGTTTCCTCACTGTGTTTAGCGGGTCGAAGGCACCAATGTCGGCCCATGGTTTATTATGTTTAGGATGTTTGTTGTCTTTGTGACTCTTGCACGTGTTATGTGTTTATATGTATACCGGTCAAGGCGTGATGATTATATTGTATGATATTTATCTTTTGTATTTTTATGCATATGTTTATATGTTTGTATGTATACCGGGCAGGGCCCGATGCCGAGGCCTGATGACTGACATATATGTTCTGAGCAGGGCCCGATGCCGGACGGAGCCCATTATATGTTTTATATGTATGGTATGCGATATTTTGGGGAACTCACCAAACTTTGTGCTTATGGTTTTCAGTTTATGTTTCAGGTACTTCTAGTTCGAAGCGGAAGAGCCCGGATGATTGCAGTGGACACACCACATCGTTTCACATTTTTATATTACTCTGATGTACTTGGATGTTATTGATACACTTTGATTCACTATAGCTTTTATGATGATGTTTTGGATAATGGTTTTATTACTTTAAAAATCGAAATTTTTAGTCTTATTTTTGGGACGTTACAAATGTTATAAAATACGCTCTAAAAAACAATTGTAAGCTTGGTCATTTATGGTAATGTTATATTGGGAGGTAGATACTCAAGCACGTGCTAATGCGACTTGTTCGACTTCCTACCAATTCTTAGGACCTTTACGTGACACTTTTTTTTGGCTTCTTTTTTATTAGAAGCTTTGGGTTGTTTGGACGGTTGTATTTCGGTTACTAAATCCGGTATCGATACAAGCTCAACTTGGGGTTAAGAAGGTTTGATTTCTTGTTATTGTAAGGCCAATAGGAGTACCAATATCGCACACTACAATGAGTCGAGGTGTCACTACGGTGGTGCGGTGAACAACACACCGCCTAGTGTGCGTTGGTGTGGTGACCCTCCTCGCACAACACTATTTTGCCGCATCTCTTCTCTCTTTTTACATGCTTCTTGATCTTATACAATACAATGTCTATTGCTGCTTATTTTGAAGGTAGTGTTATGTGACCATATCCTACTAGCAAGACAAGTGAGATGGGGTGAAAGAAAAATAACATGACGATAAGGTGGCAGACAAAAAGTGAGAGAGCGGGGTTGAAAAGCTACACCAAACCAACCTAAGACGTTTGGTTGAAATGAGAGTTGTTGGTCACATCAACATCACATCCATGATATAGTGTGTATACACTGGAAATCTAGTGTGCTTCAGAACGTTATTTGCATGTTAAATCTTAATATCAAGATCAAGATTTCACAGTCATAGTTTAGATTTTAGTTTTTTTTTTCTTGAAAACTCTATAAAATAAAATCAATATAACAAATATATACTAATAAATAAACTTTATTGACAAATAAACACAAATATTCAAAATATTTTTTTAATTATATTTTTTCGATGAACAAAGAGGGAGTATCTTCGTTCTTTGCGTTAACTGCATCACATGCCCACAACGTCCACCGCTTGAGACCACATAGGGGGTGTTTGGCCTAGCTTTTTACAGCCGAAAGTCCTTTTTGGAAAAGAAAAAAAAGCAAAAGATGTTTGGCAAAACTAGTTTTAAAAGCCATTTTTGGAGTTTTGATACAGGGAAAAGAAATTTTTTTGGAAAAGTCCGAAAATCTGACTTTTTGTAATTTTCCAAAAATGACTTTCGGCTCTGATAAGCTAAGCCCTAAACTCGCTTTGTTGGATCTTCGAGTTCAAAATTTGTCATTTCGTGAATTATCAGAGAAGATAAAATGGTTCTGGCGTAAAATCAGGTAAAAAATCTCGACTTTTATTTGTTCATGGTGTTAAACCCTACTAAAAGTAACGAATTGAACTTCAATTAATCAAAGCTTTGTCAAATTGATCTATAAACCTAGAACTCATCATCAGTCATAGCGCCAATTCCATTTGTCTACATTGAGTGCATATCTTTATAAAGTTTGTGACTGATGCATCACCTTAAACTATAAACCCCTTTTGGTTTGCGGTTACTTTCAGCGACTTCTCACTGAGATTAATCATCCAATTTCTCTTTCGTTCAAGTGCTAATTCTTCCAAAGGTCGTTTAAGAATTCTTTTTGCATGCTTACTATTCTTTCTTCTGGTTATTGTTTTCTTTGGGTTGGTAGTATTTTCTTGCACACCAAGTGTTTGATGAAAAGCTGGCATTGCAGTTTGTAAGCAATCTGCTTGAAAAACACAAGTGAAAGGAGTATCATCACCAGATTCCATTTGCCAATCTCAAAAGACCTGCAGTATGCAACTGGTAGAGAAACCAGTTCAGAGATAACACTTGTTTATTAAGAATCAAACTGAAGATTAAGCAGACGACATTAAATTCCTCTGACAATGCTTTCAAGGAGTCTATACCGATTAAGAAACTTATCCAAACTCAATGGTCATTCCTTCTATAATTCAAGTAGTTATTTCAAACATTCAGTTCTTATTACAGCTTTCCAGCCCCTTCTTCACAACAAACCTTATGCAACCACTACTCAGCATCCAGCTTCTACTTCTTCTTTGAACCAAACTGAACTAGCTAAATTTGCAGCTATAGCTGAAAGTTGGTAAGCTCATTTCCTTTTTCTTTCTCTTTGCTTTTAATTCATTTAAATATCACTACTTTTATGTGTTTAACTTTGAGTTCATGTTATATTATTCTACTTCTCTTATTGATGATTGATGAACGACATCATTTGTTGACAGGTGGGATGCAGAAGGGCCTTTTAAGCCATTGCATGTCATGAATCCTACAAGGCTAGCTTTTATTCGGTCAACACTTTGCAGACATTTTGGGTATTATCTTCTTTTCATATATCCTTCAATTGATAATTCATATTGGCATCTTTTTAATACATTTTCCACATCAATAGAACTATTATCTTGTATTAACATTTAACACATTGTACTTACTAATTAAAATTGTAACTTTTTCACAGAAAGGATCCATTTTCTGTGAGGCCATTTGAAGGACTAAAATTTGTAGATGTTGGTTGTGGAGGAGGTATTTTATCTGAGGTATAATTAATATCATATCCAAGGGAAAATAGACAAATAATTAACATAAGACACTAACATAAATTTATTTTTTTATTTTTTAAATTTTTATCGACTCTTGTCAGCCTTTGGCTCGTATGGGAGCTTCAGTCACAGGAATTGATGCTGTGGATAAGAATATCAAGATTGCACGTCTTCATGCAGTATGATTAATTAAAAAAGTGTTTTCATTTCTTTTTCAATTCTTAATTTTATGCATTTTTTTTTCTTTTGTTCTTGAGTTCTTTCCTTCTTGACATCATAATTCATACCCATTTTACAATTTAAGTATCTTTAACTTCGTATTTCTTTCTTTTTTAGGATTTGGATCCTGTAGCTTCCTCAATTGAATATCGGTGCACAACTGCAGGTATCTTCTGTACTTTATTTAACTTTTCTCCTTTATAAATAATACAAATTTAATTTTATAATGTTTCTTTTGTGTTACAAACTTACAATTATGTGAACAGAAAATTTGGTTGAAGAGCAAAAGAAGTTTGATGCTGTTATTGCTCTAGAGGTATACATATCATTTACCCTTAAATTACAAAATGTTCATCAAGTTATTATTGAAGGGCATATTAGACATTTAACAGATATGTGTTTTGTGATTTTCTAAAGGTAATCGAGCATGTAGCAGATCCTGCTGAATTTTGCAAATCCTTGTCAGCATTAACAGTGTCTAATGGAGCTACTGTTATCTCAACAATAAACCGTTCTATGAGAGCATATGCAACTGCAATCATTGCAGCAGAATATATCCTGCATTGGGTATGAATTATGATCATAACTTTTTGAATAAATTATATTTTTGGTCCCAAAAAAAAATTCTCTTGCAATTTTGGCCCTTATTTGAGGTTCTTGTAACACCTTTTGTTCTATATACATGTCAAAGATAATCATTTTATTTGGAATAGGGACCAAAAACCTCAAATAAGGTACCAAAATTGCAAGAGAAACATTTTTGGACCAAAAATGAAAATAGTCAGGGACCAAAAATGTAATTTACTAATACTTTTTTACTGCTAAAATGAATATGATTCATCAAAAACCTTGATCTACAACATAATATCAGACTTTTCTTTAAAGTTTTATTTTGCTTGTAGATTTTAGAGTTTTTGTGACAACTTTTTTTTTTTTTTTTTTTTTTAACAGCTTCCAAAGGGTACACATGAATGGTCGAGTTTTTTAACTCCTGAAGAACTTGTATTGACATTGCAACGTGCTTCAATTTCTGTAAGCAAATGCATATTGACTCTGGTCAACATATATTATGTTTTTAAAAAAACATTATAGTTATTTTGGTTGTGCTATTTGACTCCATTTTTGTAGGTTGAAGAGATGGCTGGTTTTGCGTACAATCCTTTGACTGGTCAATGGTCTCTTAGTGATGACGTGGGTGTCAATTTCATTGCTTTTGGGATTAAAAACAGCGAATAATTCCTTTTTGAGCTAAAATGAGTAGTTTGCAACTGTTCTGTGTATCAATAAGTTATCCCTTTGAATGCTCTTTGGGAATACAGCTACAGTTTTTCCTTAGAATCTTGCACATTTTTGTTTGGCTTTGAAAATACGTCTAACGGATTGGAATATAAATCATGACAAATAAAAATTCTGTTATTGAACTTTGTAAATTATTACTATATGTTTTTATAAATACATTATCTGTAATGATCGTTATAATGAAATTACATCTTCATTTAAAAAAACACTTGTAAAAATATATAAGTTACTATTTTATTTTATTAATTTTGTTATTCGATAAATGTTTTTAAAGCTATCCTCTCTAATAAATGAAGATTTTTTTTGCCACTTGTCACTTTCTCAAAGCTTTTGCCATATGTCATTATATGAGATTTTACAATTATTTAAATTCCACATGTCATTATGTGGTATCTTTATATTTTTTTAGTAATTAATAATCAATTCCACTAATTAATGAGTCTAGTATTATATATGTAAAGTATTTATTCTATTTAAATGGTTATTAATTTACAAATATATTTGAATTCAAATGGATGCTCTAATGACACAATTAATGTCGTGTATTTGATGATATATTTGAATTCAAAACATACCTTTAATTTTTTGGACTTTTAATTTGAATTCTAACAAATTTATTATTTATTCAAATTTTATAAATAAATATGTATGTATAATACATCTCTATCTCTACCCTAATAAATGAAAAAGAACACCATCTTCGAAGATGTATTTGAAAATTTTGATTCATAACAACTATTTACAATATGTTTATAATTTTTTTATTATTATAGATTCAATAACTACTTTTTCATCATTTCTTTTGTATTTATTTCGAAAGTAAATTTAAAAAATATTTAATATTTACACTTTAATTTTCAACATCATTATTTAAAATATGTTAACAGTTTTTTATTAGTATAGATTGGATTAATTACTTATTCATTATATCGTTCGCATTTATGTAAATATATATATTTTTAAATATTTAATATTTATACATTGATATTAAACTTTTATTTTTAATAAACCCATACAATACACGGGTCATACATCTAGTTTAAAATAAAAAGTTATAGATATTAGTATACATAAATAAATTGTGGACTTTTTTTTTTCATTTATCCATAATTAATAATCAATAAATAATACAAAAATTATGACTCACGCCCAAAGCCATTTTGGTGTATATTACTGTTGTCGAGTTTGAATTCGAACCAAGGTCGAAAGTCGAAACCAGTAATACGCAAAGTTGATGCTTTGGCTTCAAACGATCGTTCAACTTCTTGTCGGAGATGGCTATTAGATCACTCTCCCGGCGAACCAAAACCATATACCGTCTATTCACCGGAACTACACCTTCTCCGACGCCCAATCTCCGACTCATCTCACCTCTACCCTCCTCCCTTCACCACCCGTTCCCACCCTTCTCGTCTCAGTCTCTTCTCTCTTCCGCCTCACCTACCATTTCCTCCTCTTCAACAGAACTCGTCAACGACATATCTCGCATCCTCAGTGACTACCGGAGCCCCCGTCACGACATCGTTTCAGCCCTCACCCCCTTTGCCGATGCGATAACCACCGACTTGGTCGAACAAGTACTCAAACGTTGCAACAATCTTGGTGTTTCTGCTCACAGGTTCTTCCTTTGGGCTAAAAACTTGCCTGGTTTTGTACATAGTAAAGATAGCTATCATATTCTCATTGATATTTTAGGTAGAAGCAAACAGTTTCCATTGGTTTGGGATTTCCTAGGAGAAATGAAACAATCTCAATCTTGTGAAATCACTTCTGTAATCTTCTGGGTGATTTTTAGTGCTTATTGTAAAGCTAATTTGCCTTCCGACGCCATTAGAGCTTTTAACAACATGGTCGATTACGGGATTCAACCGAGTATCAATGATCTGGACCAGCTTTTGTATGTGCTTTGCAAGAGGAAGCATGTGAGGGAAGCTCAATTGTTCTTCGATAAAATCAAGCATGAGTTTAATCCCACCGTAAAAACCTACAGTATTCTGGTTCGAGGTTGGGGCTACATCGGAGAAGCAAGTGAAGCACAGAAGGTGTTCGATGAAATGCTTGTGAGAGGATGCTCTGTAGATGTACATGCTTACAATAGCATTCTGGAGTCCTTATGTAAAGGAGGAAACGTCGATGAAGCTCACAAGCTATTCCGAGATATGAGATCTAAAGGACTCGAACCAGATGCTTTCACTTACTCCATTTTCATCCATGCTGCTTGTGATGCAAACGACATCCATTCCGCCTTTCGAGTTCTTGACAGGATGAAAAGGTACAATCTCATCCCTAACGTCTTCACATACAACTCCATCATCAATAAACTCTGTAAATCCGATAAAATCGAAGAAGCATACCAGCTGTTAGATGAAATGCTCGAGAGAAAAGTTAAACCAGATGTGTGGAGTTACAACGCGATCTTATCATTCCATTGCAATCGATTAGAAGTAAACATGGCTACTAAATTGGTATCACGAATGGATACAGATTCATGTGAACCAGATCGACATACCTATAATATGTTGCTTAAAATGTTGATTAGGGTAGGGAGGTTTGATAGGGTCACGAGTATATGGGAGAAAATGGAGAAAAATGGTTTTCATCCTTCTGCTTCAACGTATGCTGTTATGATTCATGGTTTTTGTAGGAAGAAAGGGATGGTTGAAGAGGCATGTAGATATTTTGAAATGATGGTTGATGAGGGGATACCACCATATTCTTCTACTTGTGAGGTTTTGAGGAACAAAATTATAGGATTAGGGTTTGCAGAGAAAGTGGAGATACTTGCAGAGAAGATGGAAAGAAGTAGTTCTTGTTCGATACAAGATCTTTCTTATATTATGAGAGGTAATATGAAGAATATAAAGTCGAAAAAGGAAGAGAATAGCGCAGAAGAGAGCGATTATTGAGATTACAATAAGGTTGCTAACCTTTTATTCATATTCGTCGATTTATATTTTCTAAGGATCTATTTTATAAAATTGAACCATTTAGTGCTTAATGATCCAAGCTCTGAATGGTTAGAGAAGTAGTGTTCCCCAAGGTTATCGATAGCGATAGCGAGGAAATAGCGACAACCCACCTATACGCTACGTAGCGATAGCGATGAGCTATTTCATGTTTTGTTATTTCTTATAAAATTAAACACTATATTTACTTGCAACTATGCAGCAATCAAAAATAACATAGAACTAACAAATACCAGTTCTATTAAGCTAACATTAAGTTCCAAAAGATGTTTACCATAAAAGATTGGTTAGTTTTAGACTATAAAGTCTAAAATTAAGTTCTAATACCACAAAAGAATCGTTATTTTTAGACTCTAAAGTCTAAAACTATGTTTCAATACCACAAATCGATTTTGGTGAGGTGTGCTATTGTCGCTACTGTCGCAGAAGTGAGAAATAACCCGCCAAAATCAATTTTGGTGATTTTGGCGTCGATTAGAGGGGAAGACACGAAATTGACTGTACGATTGCCCGCCTAAACCTATTCCGAGCCTAATTGCTACGTTTCTTACCGATTTAAACAAAAAAAAAAAAATTGCCGGACATCGCTACACACGCTATTGCCTCGCTACAGGCATCGTAGCGACCCATCACAGCTACGCTACGCTATTCGCTATAGCGAGTGTAGCGATCGCTATTAACAACCTTGGTGTTCCCTAACCGTTGAAAGTTTTGATTTGTTTAGAGAATACATCAAACGTATTGAATGCTCATATGATGGAAACATTCAAAGGTTATCAAACAATCCCTTATATATATTGTATTTATACAAAAATAGGTATTTTGGGTAATTTATATTTTCTCACATTATAGTTTTTGTTTCTATGAGTTACTCAATTTGAATATTTTTTTTTTTAAGGAAAATGTTTACATATTTTGATCATTTATTTTATAAAATATCTGGCTTTAAAATTTTCTATAAAATTTATTTATGATTTTTAAATTTTAATTTAAATGGGTTTGTCAGTTTTTATGCCTTAGCTGATGACTAGTTTTGACATGGATAAAAACCAATGTTTTAAAAACCGGTTTGAACCGGCTGGTTGGACCGGGAATCGGGAAAGAGAGCGGTTCAACTATCACCGTTTTATGTCTATTTCTGAACTGGAACGGACCGACCGATTTTTACAAAAATCCGGTTGAACCAGTTAAATCGAATAAAAACACAACGAATTGAAACATTTTGCATAATAAACTTTGATGGTTTTTTCACATCTATTAAGATCTTGTGAATAAAGGCCCATGATAAATGTTATGAAGTTTTATGAAGTTTTTTGATGCGTTTAATGCATGTGGATTGATATAAAACTTATGGTTATTGTTATTTTAATATATTTAGATTGATCTACAACTTGTTTTCATGTGTATTTGTAATGTTTGAACTTGTGGACATCAGATTTTTTATTTATGTATGTATGTATGTGTAAGAAAATATAGAAAAAATATAAGAACTATAGAAACTGGTTTATTCGATAGTCGAACCGGTTAAACCGAAAACCAGTCACCATACCGGTTCAACTAAAAAACCGATTTTTAAAATATTGATAAAAACTAATGATAGAACAAAATCAACGCAACAAATAACCTCAATAATGGGACTTGTGTTAGTGTATTGCATAATCATAACATATTGATGTCATTACTAGATGTAACTTGATCCTATCTAGGGTAGTACAAGTAGGCAGTGCCGGCTTAGCCCATGTGCAACATGGGCATTGGAACAGGGCCCAAAATCTTAAAGGGTCAATATTTTTTTTTTGGTAGTATAAGAAACCGACAACCCATTAATCTAAATTAATCAATAGAACGAAGGCAGTCACGAATAGAAGCACAATTTGCAGCACCTCACGATCATCGATTGTTCGTTCGTTAAAAAAAAGCAATCGACAAAAAAAAGCAATCGGAAAAGACAGAAACTTAGCGGCTCAACGCCATTCACTCATTCACCAAGGGTAGACAATCTTTTATGAGAAATTGAGGATTATCAATGGTCAATTATCTGATTTTATCTCCTTCTAATCAACCAATCAGGTAAGATTTATGAGAAATTGAGGATTATCAAGTTTATAGCTGTCAATTGCATACTTGAATGATTCATACTTTCATAGATTATGAGTGTAATAGAATATTGAATGAATTTAATATTTTATTATCAGTTTATCTACAATAGAAATCAGTTTAATAGTCAATAGAATAGTGAATGAATGAATTAGTTTCTAACATTCATAGAAACCAGTTTAGTAGTTTAAATTATGAGTTTATATTTATTGTAAAATTGTTTATGAAATTATGTTTAGTGTAATTGCTTGAATGTTGAAAGTTGAAACTTATGAACTTGTAGTGATGAAGTCTAAACAACCATCCGATTATCAAAAACGTAAAAAGAGAAAACTAGATGACGAAAAGAGAAAAGTTAAGGCCTAAGGGCATTTTTTCTCCGTTTCGTCCTGGGCATTTGATTCCTCAGAACCGGCCTACAAGTAGGGTGTGTAGTGTACGATATTGATCAATATTTAGTTAATAGATGACAACCCATAAGAGTTATAAGGATACAATGTCCATTGATTGATTACAAAACATACACAATAGAAACATGCCAAACAAATCAAGCTTTTGGGTATCATAGTCCTAGCTTTTTCTAAAAGCAAGCATAGAGTGGTTCGTGCAGGAACTTCGGTCCAGCCCGTCCGAAAAACCTTAATTACAAGCATTTGAGGGATAAATTCAAATTTTTTTAAAACTTTTTTGTGTTTTTGTGTGTGTGTGTGTGTGTTTTTTTTCATAATTTTAGACGTGAGATTGGCCTATAGACAAGGTGTCTAGGTGCCTACGGAGGTGTTTTGATAGAAATTGTTTTTTGGAAAAATTGGTTCTCAAGTTCTCACACAAATATTGGTTCTCAAAAACATTTTGTTCTCTCTCTCTCTCTCTCTCTATATATATATATATATATATATATATATATATATATATACACACACACATTATTTTTTGTAACTTTAATTAAGCATGAATAATGTGATTAACTTGATTGTTTAAAGCTAATATTATTTTGACAAAAATCTCAAATCTTGTAGACTTAATTGTTATAATAAGTTGAAACGAAATAATCATAGTATAAATTCAAGAATATAAAGACATCTCATAATTATAATCCGATGTAATAATTGAAAGTTCGTTGCTATTCTAAATGAAGAGCAAAACTATAATTTTAAACAAAGGAGTTAAATAATACCTTCTGGAATTATATTTGAAGAACAATCGGTACAACAATTTGGAGAAATATCTGGAGAAATGATGATTTGAAAATCTAAAGACTTTGAACATCTAGAAGTAGATAAATAGACACTAGAAGTTTTTTCTAGGCACAGGCTAACCATTTGTAAGGATGAAAACTTTTCTCTACCTCTTGAAATATGTTCTTCACTTGAATTTACAGAGGGGCTTGATCAAGAAACTGGATGTGTTACCGGATCTTTCTAAGTAATTGTTATCTTGAAAAGAAAAGAATGGCTGACAAACTTATTCGCTTCTTTTTAACAATTGAGGCCACTAGAGAATCTCTGAAAAAAGAGATCATCATAACTGAAGCAATAATTGAGAAAAGCTTATATAATTGAGGCCATCAACACATCTTGATAACTTCACCGGTTACTGTCAACCTTTAATAATTTCGTCTTTGGACTATAGTTGAGAGGTGTCTGTATACCTATCTGAACTTTGGGCAAATTCACAACCATAACCAGATTTGATAATTCTTTACCTGAAGTCAGATAGGTGAAGAAAAAACCCTTTAAAGTTCAAAGTAAAGCTCTTTCATTTTTTATAATATTACAATATCTTTAAACTCTTTACATTTTGATAATATCAGTCTTCATATGGATCATCAAATGGATCTTGAACGTCTTGAAATAAATGATTTGTAGTTGTTGAGGGAGATTTCTCATAAATAGTAGAAGGACTATGAATGTCGTGTAATAATTGTTAAAGATCTTTTTGAGGTAATCCAGCAACGCCATGGATTCTTGCCATTAAATCAAAATCTATCATCTTTATTGTTGGAATTTCTGGCTTTGAGGGTTGATATAATTCTTGAAAATGTTTGGCTAATGTATTTTCGTTTGCTTAAACATTTTTGAACTTATCCTACCATTTTACCGGATATTGACGGTTAAGCCAAGGAGCAAAAGTTCCCTTTGCTTCCTAGTAATGATATGTCTAAGACATAATCCATGGAATCTTGAATAACACGGTGACTAGTAATGATATGTCCAAGACATAATCCATGGAATCTTGAATAACATGGTGACTTACAACAAGTATTCGAATTTTGGAATTTCTTGAACAAATAATTCTTTAAACTTTTGAAATCCCAAGGCAATGTCGGTTGATAGGCAGATTGATAATATCCTCATGAATTTGTACCAATTTGTAACGCCCGTGTTTCTAGGCTAAGCATTATTATAACAGTGTAATAGTTAGGTCAACAATTATAACCTACTTTGAAGTAATAAAGAGGAATTATTTGAATATTATGTGAATTATGTGTATTATACTTATTTATAAGATATAATAAGTTAAGAATAAAAATAAGCGTCAAAAATAAAATAATAGATAGACCCAATATCTATGAAGAAAGTTGTAGTGGTCGGGGACAAGAATTTCGGAGATATAAAGAACGTCGAAATCCGAGTTAATAGAAGAAATTATAAACAAAATTTCTAGGGGCTTCCCTAGGGAATTTCGTCCATCCCTCCTAAGATGGTCCAAGAGCCAATTTTCACAACTATCAATAAATTGCAAAACAGCCCCTGTACTTTTAATTAATTCTTTTAATCCCAAAATTAATTTCTAATTAAATATTAATTAATAATATGATTTCTAATTAATATATTATTTTT